AAGTATTTTAAAGAGTTTTGCCAGTGCTCCTTCAGCGTGCTGAGCAGGGAGCTTAGCACAGAAGTCAGAATCAGGAGTCTGGATTTCTGGAGACCAAATGTTAATGCATGATAATGCGGGGACTTGTCATCCAGAATGGGTTAATGTGGTAACAAAACAGCAGTGTTTCTCCTAAGTTCAAAATGGACCTTCTTAGCAGATCAGCTGCATAATGCAAAAATACAAGCAGAAACCAGACACAGAGGTGAATTGCCTGAGGGTCTCACATATTTCAAAGCAGAGAAATGTAATGATATCTTAAAGAGGTACAGACAAGCCAAGGAATACCTGTGGCATCTGATTACAATAATGGAAATTCTGCTGAAAGGCTTAGGTAGATTAACAATATTAACCTTGCTGTCTTATTTATCCCATCTTCTTTGATAAGCAAAGCCTCAGTAATCCAGTGACAGTGGCTCTAAGACTGCTGGTTGTTTTCATTATTCTCACTTGAAAATAAGTATTATATATTATTTAGGTTAATGTCTTCACTACACATGGTGACATACTTAGACAAAATCAAAACATGAAACATGAAAGAAGAAGAAACGGGGCAAGAAAGCAGCTCAGTGTATTAATTACAGAGCTTTAAAAGTTCTGGGCCGTGGTCAGACTATCACTGCAGAAATAAATGTGACATCCAAAAGCTTACTGCCTCTCAAGCCAAGGCTGTTTGCTTACACAGATCAGCAAATGGAAAGGATTGGCATAGATCCTGTTTACAATAAGGGCAAAGTGTGCAAGAAAAAGGAGTCTTATCATTGTTTTCTAAAAGGAGGTCAGCAAACCATGAAGATACCCAAGCAGATTTGGGATGTGTAATAACATCTCTGCTCAGTTAACAAAAAAGCAAAAGCAGACAAAAGTGAGCTGATGGAAAGTAGTTTGCCTGGCCTGTGATACGTAGGGTTTTCTGTAGGTCGATTCTGTGTTTGGGTCACAGATTACAAGCCGAAGAGTATAAACAGCAACAGCAGCACATCCGACTGGAGGGTCACAGCGCTTGCTTGCATAGATGTGCCTGTAGGCAAGACAACACAGACGCTGGAGATCGCCTGGCACATGGGACTCAGCAGCAGTGCGAATCTCCTTGTTCATTTATTAACAGTGATTCACCCTGTTTTAATATAGACAAATACTCTCCTGGCCTTTTTTTTGTGCAAAATGCTAACCTAAGCTGAAATCTAATTTTGTTGGAAAAGGATTTACCAACTGTAGAGTCTGCAGCTTTGGTCCCAGAGAGGACCAGCTGATGGTGGTATTTGAGAGCACTCTGTTTTCAGGTCATTTAATGAGCAACACCATTGTTCTCCTGGCATCCGATAGAGAGTGACTCACAGGACAGTGTGTACTGCTGCAGCGATCCAGGACCGAGTCCCAAACTGCAGTTATCCCCATGTCAAATCTGAGTGGCTCCATCCATCTACTTTAGATTTAGGCTGGTAAAAAAAGAGATCAAAAAGCAGCTGCTTAATTTCTACCTTTCCTGACTTTTCAGTACATTTAAAAATTGTAACCTTCCTATTACTATAAAGTATGTTTTTATACTTAATATTCAGCTATAAATGCTGAAGGATGCCAGACCACAAATCTGGACGCAGCATTAGTCTGCCAAAAGGCACAGTGGAATAACATGTTTATGCAAATGTTGCAGCAACTGATAAATCCACGTCGCTTAAAAACATCCAGAGTTATTACACATGGCATCTTCAAATGTGTCCTGTGCTAAATGCTCTCGAGATACTGACTGATTCATTGAGCCACGTATGTGAATTACATGTACCAGGCCCGAGTCTCAAGCTTTTTCTTTAGACATCTGTTTGTGAGAGTAGGCAGAAGGCACTGCTGGCCTTCTTTGGGTCTAGAATAGCTGCATCTCCCTTGTACCTGACATGAAAGGCACAAAACAGTAGAGAATCAGACACAGGTAGCGTCAAAAGGCAGTGACACATTATAGTAGGTAGCCTTTAACAGCATTTCTGAGACAAGTCCTAGGACCACTGCAACAGGATCACTGGGAATTGGATAAATGTGTAGCCAGGTTTCCGGCTCTGAGCAGCTTTGCTATTGCACAGTTTCCACCCGCGTTTGTCCTTGAGTTTGGTGGAGAAAAATGCTCAGGTTTTCCAGTTTAGCACTTTTCACCAAACAAATGGAAAGCTCTCAATGAGTAAATCTGCCAAGAGCTGAAAACCTGTCATATGCTTTTGTCCACTAGAACATTTCAAGGTTTTTTTTCTTACTCTTTTTTTTTTTCTTCTGCCCATTTAGAATGACTGCATCCTTATACGCATGCTGTACCGCAAACCCATCTGACTGCATCATCCTGTTTGTTTAATAGGAGAGGAAGGGAAATAGTTCTTTTGCACTGGTGGTCATTTCAGGACCATCCAGGACATTGGCACAACAAACTGGATAAATAAATATTGTGTTTCTGTGTACATTCCTTCAATTTCTTGCTTGAATATAGCTGTCTTAACATGGGCAGCATTCGCTTCTCAGACCGTTATTAGGCTTGATTTTAAAACTGCAGCAAGAGAACTGTGTTGAAGAGTACTGCCACATGGATCACAGTGTGTTTGCCTGTTCTGCCTTGAAAATAAAGGTTCCGTTTTTTCTGCCTATTAGCAGAATGCATCCAAACAAGAATGACAAAGTTACTAATTGCTTTGAATGCTACATCAATAATATACGGATAGATGCCATACTGTGGCATTAACCATCCTCAGTGGGATTGGACTACAGCAGACTCTACTAGAGCAGAGCAAGAAAGTGTAGGACACTATAAAAAGATTGCTAAATGGAAACAGCAGCCTTTGCCATCTGAGGCTTGGTGATGACTGCATGAGCCGCTAACAGGGTGGGTTAAACAGCTTGCCAGTACGGAGTGATTCCAATGCTGCGTGTTTCCGTGGTTGTCAGTTAAAGCACTGCCTGCAATAATGTGATGTGTTGTTAGCAAAATGCTTTAAATGCTACCCTAAAGGGAGGGCAATTTTAGCAAGGCTTTTCTTTTTCAATATATCATCTGCCAAGCCCAGTCATTTTTATAAGGTGCAAGACAGTAGCCAAGAAAACTATAGAAAAAAAAAAAAAAGTATGTATGTATGTACATATAAATTGTAGGGGGAAGACTTAAAAAGTGTATTCATCAAATATGGCAAGCAAAGTGAATGTGGTGAAAAGTTCGCAATTTTACTGCATGCTGAAGATATTAGTTGGTATTTAAACAGGACAAAACTGTAATGTCATCGCTGCCTTGGAAAAAGGTGCTGACAGCCTGCATAAGCAAACGTTTATCTCTCCCATCAGATCTCAAGCCAATGTGTTCATAGGGGACTGCTGTAGGAGCTCAGCTGGGACTCCAGGAAGGCGCTGGTGTGCTGCCTGCTCGTGAAACATAACGCTCAGCATGCAGAAGGAATACACCTTAAATATTCTTTTCTTAAACGGTGGATTTCCTTCTGAATCACATGCCCTGGCAGATAAGTCAGTTGTCAGAAGGAGGGGTCTGAGGAGGGGGTCTCCGCCAGACTCTCTGTGCCTGCTGGCTCACCTCAGGCTTACACGATTTTGACCTTTTGGATACATCCTTTCAGATGTGAGCCGTTTGGTAGCTCCCTACTCTAAACACCGGACCTAGAAAATAACTGTGAAGTGAGAACATGTTTACAGTCTGATCCTGAGCCTTTGGAGTCAACGACAAAGCTCCCGTTGACTTTCTTTTGTGTAGATCTGAAGATGTAACACTATTCTGTTCAGCCACATCATGTCAAGGCACCGATAAGACCTTATGGCCCAGATGGGCCTCCCCGGGGTCCTCCCCCACACCCTGCCAGGAGCCCCATTTCAGCTTCAGTCCCTGCCTGAGCTGTGCTGGCAGAGTGCTGGTCTCCAGCTCCATCACAGCTGTGGGTCCTCTTGTTCTAGACCTGACCCATGTGTTGCCTTCCTAGTTTGACTTTGGCCCTCCGTCATCACCATGAACTTGCCCAGTGATCTGGGCCCTTGGTTGTATCCGGCTGCCCCCTGGCCTGCCCTGCTGCCTGGCTGGGGTGGTGGGACAAGCCCTGGCTGGAGAAGCCCTGCCCTGCCACCCCCCGAGGACCTCACCACTCAGCCCCCAGCAGTCCCCGTCCTGCTGCGCCCCTGCACTGGGGCTCCTCCTTGTAAAACAAACCAAAAGACTAGAGCCCTAAAAGACACGGCTCACTTCTCCTTTACCACCATTACCATTACCATCTTTACCATTATCAACAGTGGTGTTGGTGAGGGAACGGCCACCATGCATGTGAGGAGTGACACAGGCACAGATGCTGTGATAGTCCCCCTTTCCTCATTAAACTCGCCTGCTTTTATTCCAGTTGCTTCCAGTGAGGTTATCCATCCACGATGCAACACGCTGTCAATTTACAAATTAGTGTTATCAGATATTTATAGGGAAAGTGTTCATTTTATTGCTGCATTGTAATTGCCATTACAAATAATTTCTACTGTTCCAAATGAAATGTGGTTTTCAACATGGTACCAGAAATTGCATGGCATTCCCAGGTGTGCGTGCTTATGTACTCCTCAGGGCAATGTGTGTGCTGGCTTACCTAGGGAAAGCCTCCTTATGTCCTACCTAAAAAGCAGCGTCACAGACTTCTTAAGAGAGTTTATTGCTCTGAATAAAAGGTAAAACAAAAATTCTCATTTCAGAATATATAGTTTTTCTGCCATTAGCAACATTTTAGTGCTCTTTCTAGATCTTCTGCAAGATATTTTGATTGAAAAGTTATATTTTATTCTTATTTTGCAAACTTTCTTGCAAGCCATTTATGGATCCAATACATAAAATAACTTTCCATCAGCCATGCTGAAAATGGAGTTTTTGTCTTGCTGAAATGGAGCAGGGTGTAGCTCATCCAAACCCTTTTGATTCCCCTATTAATCTCAGCAACCTATTTCTATCCCAACAGGTGTAGTTCGCCAGGTGAGGCCCATTGTTGGACCTTTCCATGCCATCCTGAAACTGGAGATGAACTACGTCATGGGTGGAGTTGTATCTCATCGTAACATTGTCAATGTTCACATCTTTGTCTCCAAGTACTGGTTCTGAGAGAGCGTTTAAAATCCCAGACAAGCACGCCGCTCCAACCTAAATCATTACCACAAACTATTATGTCATATACTTGTTTGTAAAACCCAATAGTGGTTTTTTTTGTTTTATTTTTAAATATTTGGTTTAGAGTTTAAGACAAATAACAAGCTATTATGGTGATTAGACATAGGGTGGAGCAAATTAAGTGAGCCTGATGTAGTAGTTGTCTGTAGAAGTAAGTAGTGTGTAAAAGTGCTCAGCTGCCTTTTAAAAGTTTAAAACTATTCTAAATGTTTAGGCAGATCTTAACTATTGCTCCTTGGCTGGATAACCAGAGCGACTGAGGATGTGCAACAAAATAGATGCCAGAGTTCACTGGGATGAATATGTGGTATCTTTGGACGGAAGAAGTTTGGTAAGGATTAGTAATTTCACCTCAATATTAACTACCTTGAAGGAGGCAGATTGCCAGAAAGTGCTGAATATTTGCTTTTGGGACCCAGTAGGATAACTCTGAATAGGCGCCCAGAATTGCTAATCATCTCTGAAAAGTTTAGCCTAGATATTTAACAAGCGCCATTCAGCTACCGCTACAAGAGGAAGTGCCAAAGGAATTAGAAATAGTAAGAGACTAACAATCTATTGCACATATTAAAAAAATACTTCTTTTTTGTACTTATTATTTGATTGTAAGATTATGTTTGATTCTAATTAAACAAATACCTCTCATTGAAATTAACCTCTTACAAGGATAACGCATATTGCTTAAATTCCATCTCATCTGTACTCAGCAATACGCGGGAAACTCAGACCTATAACTCCTGTCTATTATAGGGTAAAGCTCCATATCTTTTTAAAATTGGTAATAAAACCAGCATGTTAAACTGTACACTGCCTATGCACCAAACCAAGGCATATGTAATAATATAATGAAACTCTCACAAATAAATGAATGTTTAATGTATTTTCTGGGCATCAAAGTAACGTATCTTTTTTATTACAGAACAGAAAATAAATAGCTCAATGTTTCAGTTTGTTATGTTTGTTAAGATATGAGGAAATAAAGTCAGATGGGAAATACTCAAACGTGTGCTATGGTTTCTGCTTACCAGAAAAATTGCATAATATACAAAAATATATCTCCTGTAAGCGAATTAATTATATGTATATATTACACATTCCCCACTCAAAACAGTCCACTATTTCATCAGTCATTATTGGTGCTAGGCATTTGTCTCTTCCTTTCATACAAAAGCCCCTGAAGCTTAAGGGAATCTTTCCATTGACCAGAATGATCTTTGAATAGGACTAATAAAGACCCTCCTCTCTGATCCATTGCAAATAAAAGACCATAACAACTTTACTGTGTACGTGCAGAGCTCTTCATTACATTCTCTGCGGCAGGGAAGCCTCTCTGCCTGCAGCATTCTCACTCCTTAAACGAAGATTTTATGGTAACATATTCTCATAAATAGAATTTGACTAAAGGATACCCTCTTGATGGTATTCGTTCCCCCCACACTTGGAGAGCATCCCAACCCCATACATAGCCTGGTTTTCAGGATGCCATCAGCTTAAAACGTGTTCAGTGTTGATAGTGCCCACCTCTACAGTCCTTAGGATTTCAATAAATAGTTACATATTTGCGTAGAAAAATGCTATGAAGCAGATATATTTAGAGCAGGTGATCTTCATCATTCAACTAACTAATGGAGCTTCTGGAAAACTCCAAAGTACAAAAGATACTATTGACTTCAGGGATTACTGGCCTAAATAATTCCGATTTAGATTGCAAAGTAAAATGTTTTATTACTCTAACAAAGTCCAAGAAAAGGCGGATAGAAGACTCTCCTTAAATCGTCAAGTTCTTTTTCTTGCCAGTGTAGGAAAAGTAAGTATCCTTAGTACCAAAAATTCAAAAACTGTTTCCATCTGATTTTCTAGACTGTAATTTTTGATCCTTTATTTCCTCTGTAAGTGGTATTTAGTTGCAGTGGAAAGAACTTCGGGACAGCAGAAATCTAATTTTAGGATCAAACTGATGAACAAACTAATTTACAAGCTTCTTTCTGTAAAGGAGAAACCACACACCACCACACACACGCACACCTCTCCCCTTCTTCGGTCTGCACTTCTGAGTAAAAATAGGATAGAAGAAGGATTACCACTGCTTCCTGGAAAACTGTTTTCCTACATTGTCCCAAATAATCTTTGAAAATTGCAAGCAGCTTTTTAAATAGTCCTGATGTCATATGAGAACGTTGATCCAGGAGATGATTTTATGTTTCGTGTTTATAATAAAATTAAAGTGTGCTTAGTGCCATGGTCACTGTGACGTGTCTTAGCTTTTAATAGATCAGCATAGAAAAACTAGATAATTCAGTAATGATAGGAAAGATTAAATATTTCTCTCATCCAAACCTGTGACAATAAAGTTTCATTTGTTGCAAATGGGACAAAGTAAAACTATTTGTAATTTTTATTGGCAAATCATTAAAGCTGTTCAGGTGGGAGAATGTGCTTATGAAATTGTCACCGAGATCCACTCTGAGGGCTTTTCTTTCGCTGTGCTCTCTTTGGATTGATTAGATCCAAGTTCAAGTCATTTTAATTGTGGGGAAACAGAACCACAAGTAACTGAGCATTGAGAAGAAAACAATGAGAACGAGTACAGAGTGTTCATCAGTCTGCTTCAGTCATACACAGAACGACATCACGTGCTGTGGAAAAACAATCGCACACCGTTAAAAGAATGAGTAATAATAATACACAATTACAGATACTACCTAGGATCAAATTACCTGATAAACTATCTTCGTTGATGCTAGATGAGTACGGAGAGACAAAAATCACTCGCATGAGCAAAGGCTCACCGGTGCTAGCCAGATTCTCGACGGGAGGAGCAGCAGGTCCCAGGTTGTTCTGCCGAGAGTCAGGCATCCTGCATAGATGGGAAGGCTTCTTGTGTGCGACGGGGACTGCTTTGAGGACAAGTCTTACGGCAGGAAAAACTGCATCATGGTTATTTCCAGTGGGATTAGGACAGTTTGCCTTGGTAAGCAGTCTGTGTACGTAGATGGTTCTGAGTAATCAGGGCCAGAGCCTTAGTCAAGTAAAATAATAACAAACCAGGAATATTTCAGATCAATTTGCTGATAGACTGATCTACTTTCTACTTCTTCAGTTTAATAATCACTTCTTGATGGATCTGTAATTTATTAGCAGATAGAGAAGGCAAAATAGCATAGGGTATGTAATCCTAGCGTAGTTACTCCTTTTACAGAGGAGGGGCACGACAGCCAAGGACAATAGCAATGAAGAACAAACAAGTTTCGTAACAGTGTTCAAATCGGTACGTTCCACGTATGATAGCTGGAGAAGCTTGTGCAGTGACGACTAAAGTTATTTCATGATTTGGAGAGAAACACTGTGCCTTTCCAGGGTAGCTCTCCTGACTACAGTGTATGGTAACTCCTGGCAGCCGCTGGTGACCGACTGTAACACTCCAACGTGGCAAACTGCTGGTCAGCACTGTGAATACGTCCATTCTCTGGAGCTTGTGCAGCATTAATGTCTTCCTGACTCAACCACAAAATCACACTATGCCTGAGTTTGGCCCATGAAAAATATTATAGCATCCACTTCGCCCACGCAGTTCGTGACTGCTTCTGTGCCTGAACACATGCAATCAATCAGTTCTGCCAACGTGGCCCTGGTGAAATCTGCCCTGTGCAATGCAGGGTGGAGTGAAAAGCAAGGCCCGAGCTGACTTCTGAAGCAGAGTGAGTTACACCGGTGTCACCAACATGTGACAGACTGCACTTTTTACGGGAGCAGGTTCAATGCAGTTGTGTTCTCGCATCCATACCAGTATAAAGGAATTAAAACAGGGATGGTTTCTAGATTAAATACAGTAACTCTTTATAATGATCTGTAGTTCAATTAGCAAGTGATTGTGGATGACAGCCCATGTTTCAAGCCAGTTAAAAACATGCTTACCGGTAACTGAAGTGAATGCAATTATTATTTAATATCTAATTCTGAAGAGTGGCACAAAGCCACCAATTCAACACCAGCGGCTGCCTTATACCATCTGGTATGTAGGTACCCCCGTGAAGACAACTCCTTCCAGGAGCGTGTGTCAGAAGATGTTTACATACGGTGTTTGTTCCACTGAACATGGAGCATACACTCATCAGTCAATGCGATCTTGCTACCTCTGTTTTTTTAAATGAGTATTTGTATTTTTGGTCTGTTTGTGAAAATGTTATTGATGTGGAAAAAAGTAGGTGCCAGCTGTGGCAGAAATGAAGAGCATGGGCTCTTCGAAACATTGTCTGTAAATGGTAGCCTCGAGCAATCCTCTTGCAACATTTCAGCAGCCTGGATTTAGTATTCTAGAAAAAGCTTTTACACGGATGCTGACACACGACTTTCCTGTATTCTGTGGTGGAGTTAATCCATATTGCATAAGAAAATTTTGTATATGTATATATTAGGTGTAGCTTGCTAAGTAGGCTCTTTAAAACACGAAATCCTGATGCCTGAGGAGCAATTCACACCTGCTGGAATGGACATGTACATGCCATGACCATATTGCTTTATCTTAACCAGCTGAGCTTGACGGCTTGTCTCCCAAGTCTCTCGCTCTTGACACTAGCAAGATCACTAATGCAATGGGACAAGAAACCCACCCCAGGGATGCTGTCTATGGGATGGGCTTTCCCAGGTTGGTAGTCCTTTGCAGAAGTTGAACAAAGGATCCGTTCCCTTTGCAATCAGGTATGTTACATACCGAGCCATTTTAATGTCATGTATATTCCAAACTTCCCATGAAATTGCAGCAAAGTCTAGCCTGTGTCCAGTCAGGAGTAATTGCTATTAGCAGATGAGCCAGGGGGAGCTCATTCTGAGTTTTTCCTGTTAAATTCCAGGTTTAGAGGCAGTTGTGTAAAAATTTATTTCATCAGAAGTAAGGGTGACGCACTTAGTACTGTCCCTGTTAAATATGCTGCCAG